AGAATGAGATGGATAAACATTCAAGAGTGGGTGATGTATTGCCATGCTGCAAAGGTGCCAGAGTCCATGAATCATGCATGGGCAACCATTGGGAAAATATATATCTATAGACAGAGAGAAGAATATATCCATGATTTGCTTTTGGGCAGGGTTTGTGAGCAGCTAGAAGATCAATATTAGCGCCTGAAATAAGAATCTGGAACAAAATGGTACTATTCTTGAAAGGATAGGATAGGGATGAGTCTCCCTTGATGCTTTGATCGTGCATAAATACCTCATTATACATCTGTGAGCTAGTAATTGTCCATGTGTCAAAATGGATGAACTGGAGGTGCAAATAATTTGAAGAGCTGTTTTAAAAACATTATTGGCTTAGTAATGTGCTTTTCCCTTTTTTCTTGATTCATTGTCAAATTCACAACCAAATTAAGCAAGCTCCCAGGTTCCTCATCAGGTTTTGTGCGTTCCAGCTTATAGAAAGTAACAATTTGCTTTCCTCAACATATTCTAAACACAATTCTAAGAATTGTGCGGGAATCTGCCACTTTGTCCTCAGCATAACATTTCACCACCCAGATGTTATGGGCTTGTACCCTGCACCCTTGTGAAGTACGTGTGGATTTTTTCATCTATCTATCTATCTATCTATCTATCTATCTATCTATCTATCTATCTCTATAAAAGGCTGTATGTATGTATGTTCCAGCATAAATCTGGAATGCCTTGAGCAATTTCATCCAAACTTGGTACACAGATGACTTACTCTCTGGAAACAAATACTGTGGGGGTAAGACACCCCTAGCACCCCCTGTGGTGTGTGTTCTGTTAAGATACAGCCTGTTGTGCCTTAAAATGGCTTCTACTGTACAGCACAATGGAGTTGCCATGGTAATAGCTTCACAATACTCCACAAGAGGGCTCCCTCTGGTAAGGGGGAAAATCCAACATTAGAAATTACGTTTGGTCTGGACATTTTCAACAAGGTTTTGATAATTCTTGAGGACAAATGTATGGCCATGATCAATAAAACATTACTGCAACTCAGCCTGCCTGCACTACTGCAAGACCGACATGATTACATATGAGAAAAGAACTACAGCATCTAACAGCTTAGTGCATATATCGCGGACAAGAAGCCACTTCTAAATCAAGATCAGAAAAAAGCATACCAAATGATCATGGATCAGCTAGCAAAACAAGGTGGTATTATTTTACTTGATGCTTCTGGGGGCACAAGGAAAACATTTTTAACTAATTTAATTCTTGCCGAAATCAGGGCTCTGGGTGAAGTTGCTCTTCCTGTGTAATACAGGATTGGGATAAATAAATACCCAGGCAACGCCAGATTATCAGCTATTGTATATAAATAACTCATGTTGGAGAAGACTCTTGAGAGTCTCTTGGACTGCAAGGAGTCCCAGGTTCCTAGCAATGAACCCAATTGAATCATGATTCAGAAGCGCCATCCAGGCTTGAAAGACCTCTTATTGAGTACATCGTATTGGCACTTAGAAAGGTGAAACTAGCTCTGTGTCAGCCCTGGAGGCCATCTTTTTCTTTGGATCTTCAGCGCTGCCACATTTAGTGCTGTGGGAACCTGGGAGGGGGATTTCATGGAATGGCGGAAATATCTAGCCATAATAACATTCCTTTCTTTGAGAGTCAAGGACTTTTGGGTCTGCACCTGGAGTGGTGTGACTGGGAGGCATCTCCAGTTGGGACGGTGCATTGATTGGACCATGTGATGGACATGTGGGTGCAAGGGGAAGTGACTTGGACTTTCTTTTGGGTGGGGAAAACCTGGAAGCTTTCAGATTGGGGTTTTCCCAGATGTGCCAATATGACATCTCTAATAAAGTAGAACTTTGAGGAACTTCTAGCCTTGGAGTTTTCTTTCATTGGGGGTGTTACTTGGAACCCTGACACTCTGGGTAATTCCCATGCTTCAGAGTAATAAAAAGAATAGAAACTACCCCCCCCCTCAGGTGTCTTGGGTCACGTTAACCAACCAGTCCAGCAGTAGCTCCCCCTCGGTCTCAGCAGATGTTCATTGCCACGACCTTGGTTCACATGCTTCGTCTGGTTGTTGTTTTGCCTAGTGGACTCAGGCACCACATTCCAGTCCTTTCTAGGCCCCCCACTGCCCCCAAGAGTGGCAACTAAGAAACAAAGTGAAAGTATAAATGGCTTCAGCTGAAGTAGTTTCGAAGTTGACAAAATCAATCCTCAAGGAAATTGACCCTGACTGTTCTTTTGGAAGGACAGATCCTGAAGTTCAAACACTTTGGCTACCTAATGGGAAGAGAGGACTCCTTGGAAAAGATCCTGATCTTGGGAAAGATGGAAGGCAAAAGAAGAAGGGGACGGCAGAGGATGAGATGATTAGATCGTGTCATTGATACAGTGAACATGAGTTTGGGCAAACTCAGTGGAGAGTAGAGGACAGGGGACCTGGCCTGCTATGGTCCATGGGCTCACAAAGAGATGTGATTTAGCAACCAAACAAGAATAACAATATAAATAATTCAACCATCAGCTCTATGGCCTTCCTTAGCATACATATGGATTGTTTGATGGCTTAGTCCAGAGGTCAGCAACCTGTGGCTCTGGAGCTGCATGTGGCTCTTTCATCCCTCTGCTGTGGCTCCCTGTTGCTGGTTGGCTCCACAATTGATAGGGCTTTCGGTTAGGACAGGTAGAGGAAAAAGGACGCTGTGCTAGGAGGAGACTCTATGGTAGGGGGAACCAGACGTCCGGTTGACAGAGAAAAAAGGACACTGTGCTAGGAGGAGACTCTATGGTAGGGGGAACCACATGTCCGGTCGGCAGAGGAAAAAGGACACTGTGCTAGGAGGAGACTCTATGGTGGGGGAACTGGACTCCTGGTCAGCTCTACAATTGAACGGGGGGCTTCCGGTTAGGAGCTTTATGGCTCTTTGAGTGTTTAAGGTTGCCAACCCCTGGTTTAGTCTATGACATATGATATACGCTCTCTTTCTCCCTTGCCATCTGTTTTATATTTTCAGGGTTCTTAAAGGCCTGTAGAAGCAGAAGGTCTGCGTCTCAGATCCATGAATCATGCCTTTCGCTTATATTGAACTTCCATGGATGAGTGCTTCTCCATTACAGGACAGGTAAAAACATGGCCGTCCAAAAATAAAGCTGTTTCTCCATGTGGATTCTGGGAGGTGGGGGAAAGGTACAGTTAGAGGTGTGCACTTAAAAAACAAAAAAGAACTTGACAATCATACACAACCTTGGCACGATGCATTTTTATTGAGATGAACAGAATGTCAACAGAACATTGTATGCAGTACATGTAGTCCTCAATTTACAGTCATTCATTAATGACTGTTCAAAGTTACAACTGACTTATGACTTAGGCCTTCACACCTACGATTGTGGCAGCATGTCCACAGTCACATGATCAAAATTGGTGGTCGTATATCGAGGAGAAACTGTACTGTATTTCTGCCATTGCTTAAGCAATTCTGATTTAGTAGAATGTCAAAATGCTCACCAAGGACTTTAAATTATGGGCAAAGTCAGCGTATGGGATGGTCTTCAGAGAAATAGAGGAAGATATCTGATGGGGTTATTCCAAAGAAAAAGTCTCACTTAGCAACAGAGGTTCTGGTCCCAATTGTGGTCGTAAGTCAAGGACCAAAAGCGGCAGCCAAAAGAGCCAATGCAATCCTAAACTGCATTAACAGAGGGATACAATCAAGATCAAGGGAGGTACTAATACCACTCTATAAAGCCTTAGTAAGACCACACCTAGAGTACTGCATCCAGTTTTGGTCACCACACTATAAAAAAGATGTTGAGACTCTAAAAAGAGTGCAGAGAAGAGCAACCAGGATGATTAGGGGACTGGAGGCTAAAACATACAATGAACAGTTGCAGGAACTGGGCATGGCTAGTCTAGGGAAGAGAAGGACCAGGGGAGACAGGATAGCAGTGTTCTTGTATTTGAGGGGCTGCCACAGAGAGGCAAGGTATTTTTTAAAGCACCTGAAGGCCAGACTAGGAATAATGGATGGAAACTGAGCAATTTAACCTGGAAATAAGGAGAAATTTTCTGACAGTGAGAAAATCAACCAGTGGAATAGAAGTTCCCTTTGGAAGTTGTCGGAGCTTCATCACTTGAGACTTTCAAGAAGAGATTGGATTGCTATTTGTCAAAAATGATGTAGAGTCTCCTGCTTGGGCGGGGGGTTGGACTAGATGATCTACAAGGTCCCTTCCAACTCTGTTAATCTGTAGACTACCCATACATTAGCCCCCTCATAGCAAAATTGCAAAATAAAATACACTTCAGTAATGGGTGAGAGAGAATACATGGATTGCAAGTATTCCAAGATTTTTCCACTCATTTGCTTTGAACCAGTCCTTGACTGAAACTTTCACAATATATTCCTGAAAGTTGAACTCATTACACTTCCATAGAATGCTCCAGAAGGCACGTAGCTGTAAGAGTGAACAGAAGGTCAAGGTGAGAGGTCTTCTTGCCTCATTATGGTCTTCACAAGCCCATACCAAAATAATTTCTCACATGAAATAAATATAATGATATTTGCATTCAGTTATTGCTAAGCAGAGGGGATCACGTCTGTGCGGATTAAAGTTGGATTGTCTCTGGAAATGTCTAAGAAGAAAATCTCTCCAGCAAAACTCCATCCAATATAACACTGTGATTCCAACTATAACTAACAATCAGCAGAAGGTTTCACATTTTGTTACTACAGGTTCACCACGTGTGTGCATGCTTGCATTGCCTGCGGACGTGTCCGGTTTGCATGCACGCCTGCCTTCCATGCATGCACCTGGCCTCAAAAATGTGCCTAAATAGTACGGCATAGAGCCAGGGCAGGGGACGGGATTTGAACTGTAGATTTGAACTGATGATCATTCCTATTTTATAGTATTTGGATATCAATAGACATTTTACCTAGTTGTTGTTAAATTCAGATCATTGGGACCTTAGAAGTCTAACTAAGAAGAAAAGCAGCATACTTGAAGATTTGCATTCATCCACTCTTCTCTTCCATGTCTACATGAAAATGGGATTGCATCAGAGGTGAGTTTCAGCAGGTTCTGACCAGTTCTGGAGAACTGGTAGCGGAAATTTTGAGTAGTTCGGAGAACCGGTAGTAAAAATTCTGACTGGCCCTGCCTCCATCTATTCTCTGCCTCCCAAGTCCCAGCTGATTGGGAGGAAATGGAGATTTTACAGTATCCTTCCACTGGAGTGGGGTGGGAAAGGAGATTTTACAGTATCCTTCCCCTGCCACATCCACCAAGCCACACTCACAGAACCGGTAGTAAAAAAATTTGAAACCCACCACTGGATTGCATCCATTCTCCTGCTTCTCGATGAAGATCTATTTTGAACAACCATAAAAGTTTATTTATTCTATATGTTGCAGCCAGCACATCCACCAAAAATCTAATGAAATTAATTGTGAAGTTTCCGTAAAATGCCCTAATTAATTCATGAGCCATGAGCCGAACTTCAAAAGAAATACAGTCATTTATTAGGAGCACCATCTCGGCAATATTCGGATGCAGTTAGAACTAATCCCACGTAGATTTATGTTCCCCTATGACCCTGTCTCTCCCCTCCTCTCTGGCCATGTCATAAATCACATTCTCCAATTAACCACTTTGGCTGGCTGTGAAATCCAACACTCTCCTTCTGATTGCGGTCAGGAAGAATGTATGGAATGCACTTCAGTTAGGGAAACCAATCAGCTCTATCAGTTCTCCCTCCCTCCTGCTCATGGCAACTTGAAAGCTTTGCAAGTTGACATTAATATTTAGGATCCAATCTGGGTCTTCCAAGCTTTTGGATTCATATTGGAACCAATCCTTAGGAAACTTCTTTCTACCATAATGTGTGTTTTGGGCTATTCTATGTGTGGTATTAATATGGTGCCTTTTGTGTGTGGCTTTTTAGATGTTGATTGGGTGTCGATGGCTGGCTATTATGGTAAGTCATTGGCTATTGTTTCCTTATGCTGTCAAGCCCTCACCTTCTAAGTACGTGATAAGTTGGTGGTAAACCAGCACTCCTGTTGATTGATGAGGGGCACATTTCCCAGGTTTCAATCACTTCCCTGGCTGTTTTTGTACCTGCTCATCCAACAATCAGTTTCAAGAGATTGTTTTTCTGAAGACAGTGAGTTAAATTCCTTTTCCATGCCTGCTTTGATGGTACTGAAGATTAATAACCCAACCCAATGCATGATGTAAGTTGCATTTCAAAAAAAATTACATAAATCAGTATAGGACAGATCATCCCTTCTCAACCTCAAGACTCTAAAGTGTCTGGACTTCAACTCCAACCTTTCTTAGACTGGGCCAGGGAGTTTCAAAGACTAGTTTGGAGAAAGCTGTAATATACTATTAATCTTTTCTGGTGGCACCTAATATAAGGTGCTGCTCAGACTGAAGGCATAATCTGTCATGTCTTCCAGAAATAGAAGAGGACTTCTCTATATTCTGTTGCCATGGAAACATGATTGCTCTGGACCAAATAAATAAATGACTAAGACCAAGCCTCCCTAGATCAAAATGGATCTAAATAATCACCGCTTCCTTTTTCAGCTCTCGAGAGATCTCCATGGGAGGCTGGTTGTGATGCAAGCTGTGACATCAAATGGTGGAATTCTCTCAGCATTTAGCCCCAGGAGCCGGACGTCAATGCTGATAATAGCACATTGTTCGGATGCATCTTTTAATGCCATTAAAGCCGGGCAACAAATGGCAAAGAAGATCAGTCCATATTAAGGTTAAAAATGCTAATGGGTATTAACAGCTCATAAACAGAAGACTGTGCTTCTGCATGTTATTAGAGCATCTGGAGTAACTACCCATTGAGGAAGGAGGAAGCACTATAACAAAATTAAGAGGCTCGTAATTAAGGGGTGAAAATTTGGTCTATTAATATGACTAACATGTTCGGCAGTAAATAGATTGATAATAATTTAATGTGTGATCCCAGAATTACCACTTATTTCAGGGTGCTAATAGTGCTGGATTTAGGCATAACCAATGACCTCTTGCATTATGACTTTTACAAGTCTACTTGTACATTCAAAACACACACACACTTTTCTTCTTTTTTAAAAAAAATCCCTTTAATGGACCTATGGTGAGATTGGCAACAGAAGGGAAACTTTAAATTTCTCAGAATTCATTTTATTTTAATGAGATTTTAATCAGTTTTCTCTGGTTTCCTTTTGAATTATTTGCATAATGGCTTAATTGTCTTGGGTAAAACAAACAACGTGCAGGACTTAAAAAGAAGAAACTGCAGACTGCCTGCTCCAAAGTTATGGGTGACAATCTGTATGTGCCGTCTATATTCTGGCTTTCTCTATGCCAATAAAGTTAATGAATTTAATTTCCCTAATCGTCATCCTCTTGTTGTGCCATATCTGTCATTGGACATTGGGGATCATGTTGGCGATCCTATTTTTATCAACAGCCACACGAAAAAGTGCTGCTGAGTATTGTCCAAACCGGTCCCTTAGATTTTGAAGCCATTATGTTCTTCTTCAGCTTGGACCTCGTTTGCCTTCAATCTTTCCTTGGAGGATTAAGTGAAGTTTACCATATTTTTCCAGGTGTCGCATCACATTTCCAAAAGATTCTAACTTTTGTTTTTTGATGGTTTTAATGATTTCCCTTGGCTTAGCCAGCCAGTTTATCACCAGTGGTGGAATTCAATTTTTTTTACTACTGGTTTGGCTTGGTGGGTGTGGTGTGGCTTGGTGGGCGTGGCTTGGTGGGCCTGGCAGGGGAAGGACACTGCAAAATCCCCATTCCCATCCCACTCCAGGGGAAGGATACTGCAAAATCCCCATTCCCACCCCACTCCAGGGGAAGGATACTGCAAAATCCCCATTCCCCCCCCACTCCTGGGGAAAGGATATTACAAAATCTTCATTCCCACCCTCTCTGGGGCCAGCCAGAGGTGGTATTTGCCAGTTCTCTGAACTACTCAAAATTTCCACTACCGGTTCTCCAAAACTTGCTGGATTTCACCCCTGCTTATCACCTTCTCATTTCTGAATTTCCCTAATGCCAAAGCTAACTAAGCTTTGTGATAATATGCTTGGAGCTAGGAATCTCTTGGACATGACTAAAAATAATGAGGGTGAAGGTTTGTTCTCCGAGCTTGTGGGTTGGTTTCCGAATGTTTCATTACCAGGGTAGGTAACATCTTCAGTGGACTTTAGGGGATGTCAGCATCAGTATTCTTCTGTTTATAAGGGCTTTGTATGGTCGGTAGGTTGTCAGCCCTGGACTGACATTGGTCTTGTGATGGGTCAGGTGTGGGTGGGTGTTAAGGATATTGGTGTTGTGTTACCAACCAGCAGAGTAAATGCACAAGGAAACGTTGCTGAGAGCAATGAATAAGAGTTATGCAAACTGGTTTATCAAAAGCTTACTTTATAGTAGAAAAACAGTCTCATAGTCTTTAAACAAATTCCAAGTCTTTGCCATTCAAATCAGTCCAGTAGTTACAGATACCTTCTTACCAAACAAACATTAGTTGGTTAGAATAACAAACTCACTCTAGTTCACAAACCATGATGGTAGCAAATCCATCCAACCATGATTAGCAGATAGCAACTCCTCTCAATGGTAGCACGTCATACTCTGGTAGCATATCACATCAGCTTCATACACAATGGCAGCATATCATAGCAGCAACTGAACATGTTACAATACCTTGCTTAAATACTCTCACAACCAGTGATTATCTAATTACAGCATGACTCAGCATTAAAGTCACATAATACATTTACAGATTAAAGTTACAGTACACATATATTGCCTGGACAACTTGTTAGGCTCAAACCATATCCTAACAGTGTGTCAAGTGAGGGTCTTGTAATGGGTCCTGCGATGCGTCAGATGCAGCTGTGTTTCACAACTGTCTTGGAAGGAAACAGATTCCCATCATCCTGGCCCTCTGCACTGCTTTGTAGATTTGTGGGGCTTACTTACCAAATGCAAGCTATGGGCCCATACTTCTAGCCCCACTGATCTCTAGTTCCCTAAAACCAGCCTTTTCCAAGTCAACACAATCAGGGCATAAGGCAGGGGTCTGTAACCTTAAACACTCAAAGAGCCATTTGACCCGTTTCCCACAGAAAAGAAAACACCGGGAGCCACAAAACCCTTCCCGTGCCTGATTATTTCTTGAGCGGCCACAAAACTAGCATATGTAGTTGAATTAAACCTTCTGTTTTCTTCTGAAACTTTTCTTTTCTTGGATTTATCTATGGTTGGCCTACCGGAGGTTGAAAAGCTCAATAAATCGTGTGCCGGCGGGTGTTGCACACTGGTGGTTATGATGCATATTTTGAGTGACAGGGAGCCGCAGCAGAGGGGTGAAAGAGCCACATGCGGCTCCAGAGCCACAGGTTGCTGACCCCTGGAAACGTTAAGGAAACGTAACTGTTGGACTGTATTGCCAATGGTGAGTGGGGTATTCCTTGAATTCCATTGAGAATCATGAAGAAAATAACGTCACCATTCATTTACAAAACAACGTATCTAGATGTAGGAAGTTAGCACCCACCCCTTTCCTGGAAGAGTGAAATATTTTACGAAATATGAAAAAGGCAGAATATTATATTTCCCGGGATGAGAAATGGAGAAGCATATTTTAAAGCAGCTCCCACCTTCCTGCCCCCCACCCTTTGTCAATGGGCCATTAAGGCCTGGGCCAGTCTATTCTACATAACAAAGATCTACCTCCTTCAGGCAGAGCCATAGTAGGAATTGCCAAAGATCCAACAAAGATAGGATTAGCCCTCTACCCAATAGCAGCAGAAACTCACCACATGTGACCTGGGAAGCACATGTGACCATCAGCCAGCAAGGCTAGCTAAGACCCCCACCCCCTGGGAGTCTGACAACCAATCAGGATACTCTTTCGGGACCCCACGAAATGCAAAGCCAGAAAGAGCATAAAAACCCGTGGACTCACTGTATTCCGCCCTTTTCTTGGGAACTCAAGCCATGTGATCCTGTCCACCATTAAACCATCTTTCCAAGCAGTCTCCATGTTTCCAGTGTCTTTTACCCCACTTGGAGCAGAACCTAGAAGGATATTTCTTCCAACATAGAGGAAGGTTAAATTTTACATCAAAGGTAGCATTTCTGCATCTAGCTTTTGTGATGGACAATAGATCTGAAATAACAGGGCTCTAGACTCTCTTTATTATTTATTTTATTTATAGCTCTTCAATCGCCTTGGTAACAGAGTAGGTGCTATCAGATATGACTTTTAACACAGTTAATTATATCATTAGCAGTCAGCAGTCCCTAACAACTTGCATAAACCTTCCCCAGCCTAACTATCGCTGTTGCTATAGAGATGACCCTTGTAATGGACCTTCTTTTATGGCTCATAGAAATGATCTACTGTAAAGGGTGGTAGCAAGTTAGCTGAATCTCTCTCTCTTTCTCTCTCTCTCTCTCTCTCTCTCTCTCTCTCTGTGTGTGTGTGTCTATGTCTGTGTTCATGTGGTTTTTCTTATAGATGCTAGCTAATATTTGGCTAAAAATAATCCACTCCTATAGTTAGAAAATTGGAAGATAAAAATTTTAGTAAAAGGAGGACCGGATACTTTTTGGAATGTGCCTTCAAACTCAAGAATTACCAGTCAATCCTGACCATGACGCAGAAGTATGTATAAATAAATAAATAAGCTCATCGAATCCATTCCAGGTGGACCAATGTTCAATTATTTTTCCACCCAATTTGCCACAATGTAAAAAAAATAAATTCATCACGCTATAAAAAAAAAAAAGATGTGGAGACTTTTAGAAAGAGTGCAAAGGAGAGCAACTAAGATGGTTAGGGGACTGGAGACTAAAATATAGGAACAGTTGCAGGAATTGGGTATGTCTACTCTAGGGAAAAGAAGGACTAGGGGTGACATGTTAACACTGTTTCAATAGTTGAGGGGCTGCCACAAAGAAGAGGGGCTCAACCTAGTTTCCAAAGAACATTAGAGTTGGAAGGGTCCTATTCTCCAAAGCACCAAAGTGTTGGAAACGGTCTTCTAGTCCAACCTTCTGCTCAAGCAGAAGACCCCAGACCCATTTTAGATAAATGGCTGTCCGGTCTCTTCTTAAAAAGCTCCAGTGATGGAGCATCTACAACTTCTGAAGGCAAGTTGTTCCACTGATTTATTGTTCTCACTGTCAGGAAATTTCTCCTTAGTTCTAGGTTGGTTCTCTCTTCTTGACTATTACACTGGGTGAATTATAATCTCAGGAAATCTCCTGTTGATCCTGGTTTCCCTCCTACTAAGAACAGAATAGGTTTTCCAGTTTCCTATCAAGTGTTCCGCGAAGCTCGAGGAGAAGTCTTTATGAATCAACGGGCCTATTAATTCATAAAAGCTCTTAATGCCCACTCTACAATACTGAACAAATGAGTTAAAATTCATTACAACTCAGCATCACCAATGACCATATTTATATTCAGTACTACATGCCAATTTAAGTAAAAACAAGAGTCTTTCTTTATGAGCAACCCTTTCCCCCTTACGATACATGAATGGAGCCCAACTGTGAAAACAATGAATTATGAATTAATGATACTTTCCACACTCCGTGAACTAATTATGATCGCTTCCCCAGTTGAGTTCAAATGGGGACAGATTAACC